GGCAAACGTTGTTTTGCCATATAAATTATTTGTAGGGTAGAAAAAAATGTTTGGCGTAGACCACACTTAACATTTAGGGGGATGAAAAATAGATGTTGTCTGATTCTCCACCCTGGCCGATATGCAGACAAAATTTACGAAAATCGGTCGAGCCGTTTCGGAGGAGTTCATTTAGTACATTAGATGTGGCGAGATTTCAGTTGGCCGCGATAGAGACATAGGACGTGGTGGTGCGCATTGACAAAAAGAATGTAATTGTGCATTATTGTGTAGTTATCGAGCTGGTTTCTAAATCAAGATGTCTACAAATAGATGATCCCGAGGCGCGGCCGTTCATCCGAGACTGGCGTTTTTTCCCGGCGCTACTCGCCGGTAATTACAAACGCTCATTAACGATACACGGATTGCCGTTTGAACATCAAAGAGTGCAGTAGCTCGAGCGTACGTGTATTTTTCATACGAGCATCATTTGTAATTCATAAACGCGATCAATAAAATCTGAATAATGCCAGAAGAAGCGTATTAACGAGCTATTTATTGCATCTTCCAGGCGATATAGACGTTTTGTAGGAATTGTTTTATGTACACGTCTCTTCCGTGTCGCCTGTGTCGGTTGTACACGAGCTTTATGTTTCTGTGAGATTGATGCAAGGAACTCGAAACCGCGTGACTACTAGTAAAAGATGTAACTAACGCAGTAGATTTTGTTTTTTATTTCGAAGATCACCTGATGCTAAGCGATAACACCCGTAGCGTTGCTGCCGCGATGCCAACTTTTATCACTTCTTCTTCACGACGACCTTCTGTGAGGTCATGGTACTTCCCCGGACGGACCTGCCCATTCGTGGCCCTACCACAGCTGTAGTTAAAGATTTATGCAAAAAAAAATATAACGTACCAAGTGTAACTAACAGGTTATTTGCTCCCATTTTATTAGCGGACCGGCAAAAACGTTTAAATATTACTACATCGTTCAGAGGATCTAGAAATTCTTGTAGCAACAAACCGAACGTTCTTGAAATTACCCAGAAATTGGTGCATAGAAATTGACGACAGCAATCGCTATCCAACATTCACGCAATGCTCTACGAGTCACGAGGCAATAAATATAATTATTATCTCAATGTATTTACAGCACTTAAGAACGTAACCGAATTATACTAATGGCCGAGACAAAGACGCGAGATGCTTAATAAGAGGAAAGAAAAAAACCGAATAATCATCCAACTGGTTTAAGGAGCACCAATATGGGGCGCATTAGTGTAATGAGTGCGCCGGCGTATTAATTGTATGGGGTGAAGAATTATGGGAACTGTCACAAAAACTCTTCCCATTGCACACGACGCTAAGAACAATGATCCGTTTCACACTTGCGTGACACACGGTCGACTGCGGGGAAAATCGGCGACTTTTTTTTATGTGACAAAGTGGCATAGGAGCTGGCGGTTCACCTGATGTTAAGTGATAACCGCCGCGCATAGACATTTGCAACACCCGTAGGGTTGCAGAAGCGTTGCCGCCTTTAAGTAAAGTGGGATAAAGAATAAAGAAAGTAAACAATAATAACCTATACAAGCCCCATTGCTGTGTAAAGGCCTCCTCTGTACAGAGGGTATGGGTCACCACGCCCCCCCACTGCGGATTGGGAGGCTTCGCATGCCTTGGAAATATTTTTATTGTTATTATAATATATTATATTTTTATAATAATTCACCACTTAAAATTGGCGATTTCATTGGTATCAGCATCAGCATTTGAAGTCAGGTTGCTCGAGTATATTGAGCGGACGCTCGCTTTTATTATATAATATTCAACAAACATCGAAATCCCTGGACACATTTCACTGCCAACAATAAATGGGGATGAAAGTTATATAGCTCTTTAATTACTGCTAAAGTCGAATATAATAAACCAAGTTGAGCCACCTTCAGACATTGCTGGTGATTTCTATACAATAAGTGAAAGAAGAATAATTAAACACGTGGAACTTGCTTCATGAACCCAGGGTTAGGAAACTGATATATTAGGCCTTTGCCCAATAACGGATACAGATGTCGGATAGTCCAAACGTCAGATAAAATTAATGAGAGCCAATGAGATACGAATTGAATATTTACGCAAAAAGCGGGTTAATTTTACCGAGACGACTGTATCAACTCGCGTTTAATGTTTCAGCCATATCTATTTTACATTAATGTACAAAAACGCCCAATAAACATAAGCGCGAACGGTTACTGAATAGGCGGACGGCTGAGCGACGTGTCTTCGCGGGTAATTCATCAATGCATCACGTAGCTCGTGACTGACATGGACGCCGATCGACATCGACAATTAAAATTCCCTCAATTATATTCAATTACGCAACACGCGATTACATATCGCGCTATCCAGTCCGATTGCGATACGCTAACATCGTTTTTTCGAGCGCGTCTCGCCGAACCGTCGCGTTACCGCTAAGCGGGCTTAGCCGAATACTCGTTTACAATAATGTCGATTATTTACAATACATCTGATAATCGAATTGTTGACAATAATCGACGGTGCGCGGCCAATCGCAAGGGAATGTCAACGACACGGACACATTCCACTTTTATTCGCAACGTACCACCTGAAAAAACACGCACAAACACGGGGCGATTTAATTAAGAACCGATTGGAATTATAACTGCGTTGCTGCCAGCGTAACAACATTATTACATGGCCGCGAGGTGTGCTAATGTGGAAAAAATTAATGCAAACGCTCCAACTATCTCAAGTTGAACGCGTGCTGCAGTAAATTTTCCAATCCTGCTTAGATTGAAAGCAGAGTTGGTGAAGACCAAAACTGCCGCTTGCTGCAGAAGCAAGCCCTCGACGACTTCCCATTGACAGAGGTATTAGAATCTTTGAAGAGCCGAGCGCTGTACCGGGATGCTGCGCCGCCGGATATCTCGCCACCGAGAGCACTATATCAATCACTCCACAATCGTACCGCATGCCACTTAAATAAATTTACAACATATTAAGTACGTTGAAAATAAACACTTTACCGTTTATGATTTATTCCGTGCGCGGATGAATTATGGGCATCGCTTATTAAAGTGCGCCGGAGCGAGAGGTCCGAATTTTTATCTCGCTCCGTGGCGATTTCACGTGCCACCGCAACCGATAAACGTTTTATTGGTGTAATTAAAAGTGACGATTAGCGTTTGTCCGCGCGCCTGTACATGCGCTGGCCCATGATGAATGTGACATTCTAAAACGTAATCGCGCTACGATGCTTTTGTTGCGCTATCACTGCCTGTCACTCGACGTGCACTGCACAATGATAGAGAACTTACTCGTCACCCCGCCGCTCCGCCGAGCGAATAAACAAACCTGACTCAATGTTAACGCACATAAATCATAACAAGTGGTCAGTTCCATGACTTCTGACAACGTATCTGCTCCGGCTATCTCCAATGACCCCGCAGGTCGCGATCGTCCGCGTTATTAATGCTATAAATACAATTGAAATTCAATAATTAGCTCACAGCAAAGTCTTTGACTGATAACGTATCAACAACGTGAACCCGACTCTCTATTTAATAACAATAAAAAGTGAAAACGAATAAACGCGCCGCAGCCGAGTCGCTTCCGCGGAAAAAATGATATTTGACATTTTAATGTCAATGAAGACGTCAAAGTTGTTTTTTAAATTGCCTGCCACCGCAACACGTCAACGCCTATTCAGCCTATTGTGTCAGAAAAAAGAGAAATCCCACAAATATATTGCGGTATAATAATTTTATAAGAAAATTACATGGGCCCTCTACTGTCGGTTTGTGTCCAGATTACCTGTTGCACAAAGCCCTGAATGCCACAAAATGGCTCCATTTACAAGGTTTTTTGTCGCTCAAATGATAGGTGTTATACGACGATTTGCATTGCTGTGTTATTATCGGGACCGCATAATGAAATATTGATTAAAGGCACTGCTTTAAGTACTTTTTCCAAGTTTTAGTGTTACAGTTTATATCTTTTTGAATAAAATTTACGATGTGCGTTTTAAAGTCTTTCTTGATAAATTTATATATATTATGTAACGCTTGCTATATTTAATAACAAACCACAACTCTTCACGGTATATTTTTTTTTTGTTTTATTTGCTTCAGGTTAAATGAGGGACTGGTAATGGACAAAGCTACTTCAATATCCCCAAATGGATCCAAGGCTCATTTGGACAGTCGATAAGAAAATTACTTCAGAGAAGGGAAAGCCCGAATTGTTTGGACACGGCGCACCTGCCACCTTTTACTACCAGGATTAAAAAAAATAAAAAAGGTACGTCGAGTGCGAAGGGCTTTAAATTTTTTATTACACCATGCCATGGTTGGAGCACATTTGAACTGATTTTAATAAATGTAGCGACAAAAATCTTTATGAATTGCTTATATATATAAGCTCTTAGGATATCCTCAAAATGAACGTGTAAACAAAAATATTAGAGGTTCAATAAATTCGAGCGTCACCGAGCCGCCGCGAAATGTACGCACCTTTACTAATAACAAAATGTCGCGCGCACGTAATGGCGGCCGTAAATCATCGTTAGCAATTCCTTCGGCGTAATGCTTTAATAACTATAAAGCGTAATTAGCAACGGTAAATCTCTCGGATCGGATTGCGCTCGTGGGCGTTTCGATATTGATTGTTTACGCGTTTCCCGTTCCCGCCATTTGGCCGCCGCCATTGGTTTCCGAGCGCGGGGCCCGCTCGTTTGTTCGTACGCGCACTCGAGCGAGGCGCGCGGGCGAAATTAAACTCGTATCAAACGATTGGAATCGATTCGTTGCGTTTTTATATTTAATTTCAGATAAGTGGGTCATGAGCGATCGTACGAACACGCGAATCGGTGGGCAACGGGGATTTGTCGCGCTCGTAATTGTGCAAGGCAAAGGCATCAGGTGACATGCGGCCAACTTGACGTCAAATTATTCTTTGGCAGTTGCCAGTACTTGTTGTAAATAATAATAAGGACGTACCTGTTTGCTGAAGACAGCGATGTCCTCGTTGAAGGACTCTGAGGAGCAGACGTCCCCGCCTGCCACCCCCGGGTCTCTTGGGGTGCATGTGGCCAGCTCGCACTTCTCGAATATCAGCGCCAGCAGGGGGAATAAGGGATGCCTGAGAAACATAAACATGCCTTAAGTAATATCCTTGTTATTGATTACAGCAATTTCAGTTTGACATCGGATTATTGAGTTTTATAACCTCTAGATACATATTGCATTATATTGTATAATAGGTCCGCAGCTACGGACCATTAATTATTAATACTATCGAGCACCTATCAGAAGTTTTTACATATATATACTTATGAGTCCATAACTAAAGGCTTAATTAGAACAGCCGCGAGCATTATAATGAGGCACCAAAAAGCTGACAGACTAAACAAACACAGCGGAGCACAGACTGTAAGTACAGTTTGATTACACACGAGGCTTATGTCACTCTTCATTCCGCCTTTCATCAAACATATTTATAATAAAGCGGGTGGCGCGCGTGCAATTCAGACTTTGACCTTTGTTCCTCGGTTCGATTAAAAGAGGAACAATTGGGCGGGCCGCGAATAATGGCGTTTCGCGCCCAACAAAAAGGCCCAGTGCACAAAAGGAGTAATTGAGACGGGCCGCAAGGAGCGGGCGGTCGCGTGCGCGACGCCCGATTAGATGCAGATTGTTGAGACGTGACGCCGATTTTATCTACGGCGCACAATTGCGCTGCGGCGGGGCCTCACTGCGAGCGGACAGGCTTCTTGTCACGAGAAAACTAATCGAGAATCAACCGAACAGTCGATGGTGACTTCGAAGGTATAAGCTAACTTGCAGTGCGGAATATTAGACGAGAAAACTCCGACAGTACCTTATCAGACACAGTATATTACGGGTTTCTCGTAAACCGACACATAAACGGGGATTTATTGCTATCGGGGTGATAGTAGAAGATGGATTGCGCATCATGGCAGCACTCCACAAAACGAGCTGAAGGGATTATGAAAATCAAACGCTTAATGCTGCGCTTCCAAGAAGACGAGAGTCAAAAACCTCGGGGCGCGTGTTTCGTATTGCAACGACGTCGTCCCAGGGCGGCCCGTCTGAGGTTCTCAGGCACGAATGGGTTCTGAGTACCTATAAGGATTATCGCCAGTTGGACCCCATCCAAGTGCATGCTATTATCGCATTCATAACAATTTTAAAACGAAGCGCACTCGCGTTGCGGCCGTAAATACGTCCGAGGTCCCTTCGCCGTCGACGCCTTGGAAGAAATCGTGTGAGAACAAGACGAAAAAGCCAAGACAACACTTATAAAGCGATGCTATAAATTTATATTTTCACCCACCACACTCTCCCGCTCAAATGTTTTCATGCACTTATTACTCATCCGTGACAATAGTGCGTGAGTAGCTTTATTTATAACAGAACAATAGCTACGTATATAATTATTATGCATTACTTGCATTAAAAGCTAAATGCGTTTCCTTGTTATTCAACTAGCGGAGCCCTCTAAAAACCGCTCATACAACGGCCCGAGGGCGATCGGACACAAATACGATAAAAATAATGCATTAATTGCAATTACTTCTATAACGCAAAACCGCATCGCGCAAAAAGCGGCGGCGATGCAAACGAGTCGATTAAAACGACGATTAACCTTTGCACAATGCAAAGGGAAACACTGGTATCGTGAGGGATACGTCCACGGCGCGTATTCCGGTTGCACTTACTCCACCAAAAGACATATAATTATATAAAAGTTTTATGAAGTAGGCAGCATGTTCGATTACTACCGCCTTTATAAAAAAAAAACAATCATCAAAGAACCCGTCAAAATACACGGCAATTTTTTTGAAATGACAAAGATGCTTTCAACGTTAAGCCCATGCGATTTGGCGGCAATTTGGCCATGAAATTCGTTCCAGCCTAGACCCGCTGGAAGCGGCACCACGCCCCCGCACGGAAGCTCCTCGAACTTTCATGACAACTTATGATCTGATAAGCTGGGGCACCGTCGTAAAGCAACGTAACGCGTTAAACGCAACACCTTACACTAATCTCTGGAAATGTCGCCGAGATCGTGCGGCGAATTCGCTCCCACGTTTGACTCTTTAAATAAATGATTAAGTTACTAATTTTAGTAATTGATTTTGAAAGGACTTTTGCGTTTCGCACCTATATTATCTGTCATGTTTGTGCTTTTTCATAATTTTGGATTAAGGAGATTAAAATGTAGCCATGTACATCAATACCAGAAACAATCTTAAATTACCTTTTAGTTAAAAAATATTTTAAGAGGACATTAGACAAAATAATATACATTTCGAAAATTCCTCAGTGGATACTAGGGAAAAACACCTTGTTCATTGTGCTTGTTTTAATGTAAGAAAGTGGCAAACGAGTTGGCGGTTCACCTGATGTTAAGTGATAACCGCCATCCATGGACATTTGCAACACCCGTAAGGTTGCAAATGCGTTGACACATATAAATAACAATAACATAACTGGGCCCCGGCTACCTTACTCACCATACATGTATGATGTACATTGTGTACATTAATTGCATTAACATTACATAATCACGTAATGGCGAGTAAGATTTCGCATAAAAAAATTGCTTGATATCTATAAATACCTCGGCTTGAACAATGTACTCGTATCTAGATAAGCGATATAGGTAGGTCAAAGTTTCGGCTACCGTGCGTGAAATGTCTGATATAAATAATAAAGCCGATTAAGGCGACGAAAACATCCGATAAGGCGTAGATTAAGTCATGTTATGACGTCCGACGTTGTGTAATTAAACGGATAATGAGCGATTGACAGAACATTATGGCGAATTTTAAGCGAGTCACGACAATAAGCCTAATTTAAAGTCTCCTTTCAGCCAGATTGAACTGTTGCGTCGTTCGTATTTATTCGTATTCCTTCACTCTTACCACTTTTGAGAAGACGACAACATGGAAATATTATAATAAAAGTACCGGTTTTTTTTTTAAGTGAGCCTAGCATACAACAGACATGATTTTTTTGCCGTATTTATTGATTGCACTTGGCCGGTTTTTTCATTTCTGTACTCTCGAGAACTGACATGGGATGCCAATACTATAATATGCAAACTTGAACTGACATCCAGGAGGATGCAAAGTGAATGAGGATGTATTTGAGGTACAATTGAATAAACACTGGAAAGAAACCAATTGATGACCATTAAAGTTAATCCGTGACCACGGCTGAAAAATATAAGACGACGACGAGAACTGGTCACAGACGATGAATGCGAATAGTTAACATATGAAGTAAAACCAACAGACGAAGAGGCTTTTTCGTTACAAAGATATATTGCGTGGAATCAACTTATCGCTATAGCCCTAAACTTTACACTTCGGATCTACATTTAAGAATCGATTTCTTCGTCAGCCTGCTCAAGTAGTAAGACTATACTATGTTCTAACACTTTATTTAAATACTATTTCTGCTTTTAATATCAAAACGCTAAGTTTCATCGACCATAAGCCCAGCAAGATGCGCATTACCGCGTACTTGACTGTCCCGGCTTAAGGTTTATAAGGTAGACTGTTTGCTCTACAAATCCCCATCGATATACTTCCGGCTGGTGGGCTCTACGTGGCTTGTGAAAGCTGAACCGGGTGTTTAGTAATTAATTGTAACGAGCACACTTTACCGCTGGACTCATCAATATATGGCGTCCTTTTAGCACTTGTGGACGAGAGGTACTACGCCTTGTTGGGCTCTACGTGGCTTGTGAAGGCCGGTTTGGGTGTTTACCAATTGTATGGAGTACAAATTACCGCCGGACTCACCCGTATACGGCATCCTCGTAGGACTTGTGGACGAGCGGTACTACCACCGGGTGTTGGGCTCTTCGCGGCTTGTGAAAGCCGAACCGAGTGTTTTGTAATTGATTGTTTGGAGCACACTTTACCGCCGGACTTACCCATATACGGCGTTCTTCTAACACTTGTGGACGATCGGTTCTACCGCCGGGTGCTGGGCCCTACGCGGCTTGTGGAGGCCGAACCGGGTGTTTAGTAATTGATTGTATGGAGCACACTTTACCGCCAGACTCACCCGTATATTGCGTCCTTGTCGCGCTTGTGGACTAGCGGCTCGCCGGGCAGGGCGTGCGCGGGCGCGGCGGGCGGCGGGTAGTGCACGGGCGGCAGGTGGGGGTGGGTCAGCCGGTGCTCGTGGTACATGGCGCCGCCCTCCATGTAGCCCCCGCCGTGGAGGCTCTCGTCGTACTGTAACGGGATGGACACGTTAGTCCGTGAATTTAAGTCTGCTAAGCCGCACTCATTTCGGGTGTTGTACATCATCATCATCTTGCCCATATCCCAGCTAGATGGGTTTGGCCAAAGCATCTGAATTTTGTAAGCGGTTTCGGATATGTATTTTACGACCGGCTGCCTCCATATCGTCAAACCTCCTTGGGAAACTATAGTCGTGAATTGAATGTGCATTTCAATATTTGTATCATCATCATCCTCCTAGCCAAATCTCACCTAGATGGGGCCGGCACAAAATGTGTATCATGTCGATGTCGAAGCCAATAGCTTAGCAACGGCGCCAACTAATCATCCGTTTCGTTATTTGTACCTATATTTTGTGGAAGTAGGGTTAGATTTGATAAGTCCTTAAGACCACCAAGACCTAGAAAGATCTCATGTGTTCTTCCTTACGAAAATATTGCCCCCTCACTGCAGGATAACATTATCCTGTGTGACGTTTTACACACATAAATTTCACGTGGACTAACAAACAGTTCGGAAACAATTATCTGCGGTTCGTACAAATAATTGTCTCGTGGGAAACGAACCCGCTACACCCGGCATCGAAGCCAATAATATATTTGAAATTGACACTTGGCCGCCATGAAAACGATAAACATACAGTAGGACTGTTGGTATGTTATCTGAACTAATATAATCGTCAATGTACCGACTAACTTAAAACAAACGTTGGCTCCATTCTTAATTGTTTACACTACATATGGCGGAACATTAGAAGGTATAATCTCGACGTTACGATCTGATCTACGGCTAGGCGAGGAGCTGGGACTGGGTAGCCGCATTAAATCCTCAAGGTACAAAACAAAGCGAAGCCATCCACAATTAAAGGCTGAAAGTGCGTACACAAAAACGAAGGTGCCACGATGGAGCGCGCATGAATATTCATCGGGAAATAGTTAAGTCATTGAGATCGCTATCGAGCATCGGCACCGGCCATCAATTAACCACCTCGAGCTTTTAAAATGCATTCTCGGGCCTTAAAGCGGCTTAGCGCGCTTGAAAAAATATTTGACAGCGCTCGAGAGCATCGCGGCTATTAAGTTTAATGCGCGCCCGTCCACCGAAAACGTATTCAGCTCAGAGTAATCCGTGGTTATATCTCCGGACTTCGGTTCACGTGTTATTGGACGGATCGATCGCTCCGCTTTATTACCCCCGGACGAGACTCGAAGACTAATATCGGTCCGAATTCCAACTACTTCTCTAACTAACCGCGGTCACAGAATTAACAACGCGTCGTCATCGCCGCTATTTTTATGATATATGCTTATTTCGTTTTCAAAACTGTCAATTGGGTTGATGGAATTAAAACAACAAACTAAAATTGTTATGTGAAAATTAATTAACCACACATCCCACAGACGTAAGCACAATTTATTTATGAATAGCATTTACCCGCAGCGTGGTTCGCGAAATAAAAAGTATTGTGCGTATATCCGATCAGAGAGCTATTTTCATTCCGAATCTCATTCAATTCCATCCAGCCGGCGGGCAATAAATAGGAAGTAATGAACGCTTACAACCAAACCTTCGCATTAATAACACAAGGGCAATGCTCCCACCATCCAAACACCCATTCTTGAGAAGCCTATAGCGATGATTCGTCATCGAATTTGAAATCGCAATAAAAAATATATCTCGTGTAAGAACGCAAAATCTAACCACAGACAATAAATAACCGCAGCAGACTGTTCTGAGCTCATTGAAACATAGATGAGTACATAATGCCTCACTCTGGCTTCACTGGTCTGCATAAATTTAATAAAATAAATCGTACGACGTCCCCAGATGACTTAATGTGGTAAATACTATGTGGTACTATGTGGTGGTACTAAAACATTTGTCTTTTGTATCAATGTCATATTTAATTCTATTGACAAGATCAAAATATTTTTTCCATGAGCACAAGCTCATAGGTACTCAAAATAAATACTTTAAGAATAACGGTACCTAAATTAATATTTAAAGCAACGCTTTTTATTTCAAAAAAAATGTTCCAACAAATGAATAACATATTATTACTGTTAGTATGAGATTATCTTACGTTTTTGAACATGCATTTCCTAACATCTACATCAATTATTTCTTTGAGAATCGAATACGGCATCGAAGCGTAAAGCCAGCACAGCCAGCTAAACTCGTCGAACCCGGCCACATCCCCCACTATCTGTTAAACGGTGAAGAGGCACTTTTTCCGTGCCAACGTGTCGCTCATCTCTCCGATTCTGGCATTGTCAACTTGCCCATGAATAAACATGAGGTACATCGCTTTGTTCATTAGCGTCGAAGCAAAAAACCCGCGGCGCAGACGGGCGCGCCGGGGTGAAAAGGTTATAGCCGAGCCGCGGGCGGCCAGCGTAAGAATGCTACAACGTATTTAGAATATAACTGTGTCTGAAGAGCGGGTACGTACGGCCTAAATTTGTGTTTTCTTTACCCCTCAGCCGAGGTAATTTCATCATGTATGGATATAACATGCTAGAAATATTGTAACCGAGTCCCAATTTAGATGCATAACACTTGGTTCGATAGTAAGTGCAAGACATTTCAGTCAAAGTCAAAATTACTTTATTCAACATAGGCATTAGTACTCGACGCACGATTCCAATTGTCACAGGACTATCCTATAATGGCAGACGGCCGTGACATTGTGTTACGACGTGTTACCACTCGGCAAATTAAGTAAAACCGGTGAAAGGTTATGCGCGGACTAAACGTTGCGAGCATGAAGGAAGCCCGCGCCGTGCGCTCAGTCGGTCACGTTACAGTGTTACTGGTGCCCGCTAATTAGATAATTCGCCGGTTCGGATCCGTTGTTGCGAAGCTAAGACGGGATTAGTGATGTTCCAACAATTCCGTGATTGGAGTAACCGAAGCGACGGACGAGCGGTTTGCTATACGATAACTAGGCCAAGGCTCGACACTATCCTTTCCATGAGTTTCCTCGATCTTAAAATAATTATGATCGATCTGATTGGCCTTACTTATTGCGCCTTTTCGTGGCTTTCTTTTCCACCCGTTGGTCGAACAGGGCTGACACTCCACTCGTGAATTTAACCACCTACCATTGGAGTAAACGTCCATGAACCCTTCGAAAGTCACAGAGCGGACTAGAGCCCTGACTAGGGTCGTGCAGGACGCAGTCCTGGCCGATCCAATTGCACAGGATGACGCGGAGGGCCAAATGGCAGTTGTAGGGGGCGCGCGGGAGCAGGCGAGCGCGTTATATGGCGTTAATGAGGGGCCGGGCCCATCGATCCGGGCAAAGAGCGCAGTCACCGTTTTTGATGGCGTCCCGGGGCCCCGCCTGCCGATGGGCCACGCGGAAAGCCCGTGCCATGACATGTCCCGAGCCGCTAAGCTGCACGCCTTACGCCACCCGAGGACTATAGAGTCGTCACGCGTTGGAAATTCGGACACGATATTGTCTTTACCGCATATCTTTAAAGCAAATTACAAGTTATTCTTATTATTGGGTTTATTGGGTGATGGTTTTGGTTTCATCCAGAGAGACCGCCTTAGTTTTAATGGGCCACGGGGCTTATGAAAATAGACTGACACTAGAAGATTTAAGTAGATAGAAGACCTAGTGGATCTCTGAACTATATTTGGAGTATTACAATTAAAAACATGAAATTAAAATATTAAAAGATTTCAAAATTCGTAAGGTAATCGTATGGCAAAGAAAACAGTGTGAGAATTTATTTAGCATTAATTTCAACTAACGTTATTGATGGTACCTTGACGAGGTTAACCGCTAGTCTCTGGCATGTTCAACAGTTTTTTTGTTTTTAATTTTAACTGTGACAATACCACGCAGAAGCTAAGTAATTAAGTGAGGTAACTGGGGCGTACACCCTTAGTTGTTGTAGGAATAGGTGGAAGATATCTGTTAACATCATGAAGCCTGCTCGCTTAACAACTTTTCAGGTGATAAAATATATTACATTCAATTGTCCCTCCTCATTCACTCCTCATGCGACCGCCGATACGCTATCCAAAAATAATTTCCATCCGTATCGAATTAATTTACAGAGCACTCCACGTATCCCGCTATCTGTCCTCGACGTAAGCAAATATAGGAATATTAGGAGTTAATTTATCGGCTGCCCGATTCCGAACTCGCTATATTAACGGCAGTAACTCTCACCTGAAGCCTTCATGAATTACGAGGGTCGGATACTCTTCCGACTTTATTTGAGGCCTTGTATATCGGATGGATTCTAAAATAATCTCCCGCGGTGCATAATGTACGCGCAATCTTGTTTCCTCGTGTACACGTCGTTATTTCAATGCTTATTCAGTGTTTAGTGCGGTACATGTTCTAAGTAAACAATAGCGGAGTACGGTCAGCCGAAAAAATACTTACTGCGTGCGTTACATGGTTTCAAACGAAATGAAAATACGATGAACAACGCTGCAAAGGATTCGAATTACGTCGGGAATTTAAAAATCTATTTAAACCCGATAAAATCCGTAAAATAGTTTCATTTCACAATGTACGTTAAACACATGTTTAAAATGCCAATCGAAATATTCTTATCAAGTTAATTCTAATTGTCAATACGAAAAAACCGAAACTTGTCATTTTTTTAGTTTGGCAAATAATTATTTACGTTTTTTCGATATGTAATTATCATTTTTAATAAATTTTCATAATGCCATTGCATTCGTCGTTCCTGCGGACCGTACCGTAAGATTTATGCTTTATGGCCCGTTCAATGCGTCACTTTATCAGTATACGACCAATATTAAAGCCATTGTAATTGCTTCGACGCTATCGGGACCGATCCGCCCGCTTTATTGCTGACTGTACAATTCGATACGCACTATAAAAACCGAGTCGGTTTACTTTGCTCATTACTTGTTACGTTCTCAGCGTTACCATTCCTCGTAGAGCCGCGAAACGCTATCCGTCGACGGACGCCATTGTCTAACTTTTGCAGCGATATAACCGTTGACAAAAACGATATAGCTACCACTCGTACAGTTTTCGATTAAGCTAACAAATGTCTATACGGAATAAATGAAATCACTTCTAACAGATATTCCACTCGGCTCTAACCCTATCGTCCGCTCGTTACGTAAAAAGTTAACAATATTTTTTACTCCATCCAACGCGACCATCATTTATGTCGTGAAAATTGTTTTAATAGGACGCGGCGTGAAAAAGCGGTAGTTGTTGGTCCGTTTCGTCTTCCATACTGTCTACATTAGACGTCTGAATTGCCCACCACAGATAATCTATGCGCTGGAATTGCAGCTTAACTGCCCGAAGTCACGTAGCCTCCTAGAGAATGTGCGGAAAGCATGACTGGCCTAAAAGAAATATGCAATGCATTCTGCACTGATATTCTTTATTCCTTTGTTATACTATTCGTGTCATTGCAATTATCGCGCTAATAAGTTTAAATACAAATTACAATAAAAAAAAACTATCAGCACTTTACATTAACTGTAATTAGAAAATACCCGAAGTGTTCGAAGGGACTTAAAAAAGCAAAACGAAATTAATATTCGATATTTTTCTATTTTTAATTATTTATAGCACAGGCTAAAAAATTGTTTAATTGGTAGTTGAGAATCAAAAATAAATTTAAAAATGTTATACATATTTGATGTTGCATTTTTGATAAAGAACGCTTAAGCTCTCATTATTAAAATTAAAATACGGGGAATAGGGCAATCATTATATGTATTGCAAATTGTCCTGAACACTGTAACTATCACCTTACCTAGGGCCCATTACCTAGCAATCTAGGCGCCCTAGCACTTCCATAAGGTACCTGGGTATTAGGCAAATTATAGAGCGGTGGGAAAATGAGCAATGTATCCGCCATTGCCGTGAGCGAATTAATTGGTTGATTATACATCTGTTATAGCGACCGCCATTTTGCGATCGCCGATGACAATCGCGATTTAGAGTTTTCCTTTTTAAACTTCACCACAGATTATAAATACTTTTTTATTTTTTACAATTAATATTTTGTAACCTAACTTTTTTTACCTCATATAGAAAAAGCTATTAAGATTGATTAACCAACATTTTAATAAAGATAATGAATAAAATATTAAAAAGATATTGCTGTAGGATTTTTATAGCGGAAATATCACTTCTGCTAATAAGGGAGCAATAACAAAAGCAATGGCGATTAAATATGGCAGCGGTACATTGGCGGTGATGGCGCAACACATGTCACTAGTCCTTTCTGCCGTTTAATATATCATAATATCATAAAACTGCAGTAATGGTAATGGCGACGGCCAAAGATGGTAGCGATTGCCATTCCGTCAGACGTCGGTGGCATAAATAAAGATGTCCTTTGTTACTGGTTTGCTTAGATGGGGCTGTTCGTAAAAAGTCAACTTTTCTCTTCGCCCGCTTGTATGTATTAGAATGCTCCGAGCGATTCTGATTGCTTAGATTGAGTTTCGTTACGGGACTTGTGATTTATATGGAAGAGCGAGCTTTCGAGCGCCAATAGCTAACTCATTTGTTCGTGATGGATCACTTTTTTTCTGAACCCAGCCCATACATAAGAGACATATACTTTTAGCCCGTAAGTACCCTTGTGCCGTAAAGTCATCGCCGCGTCGGGCGCAATGTCACCTGCAACACCCCGAGACGCGGACGGCAGACGCCCGTGACCCGATTGAATGCAATTAAGAGAACAGAAACGCAATAAAACGCGAACAATCAATGCGATGCGTCTAAAAATCCGACCGAGCCGGGCCCGGGCGGGCGATAAAGCAGCGGGGGTCGCCGCGGGGCGCGCCCTAGCTGCGCCGACCTATCGCTTTCACTGGTCAGGTACTCAGGCTCGTTGGGAGCCTCGCTTTATTGTAATATTAAGGGTCAGATGACGTCATGGCAGCTGGTAAGTGGACCCCGATGAAGGACTAAAGTCACTTCGTACTATACTAGAACTGCAAGATAATTAAGTGATAATTTTGTGATTGCACAGAGGTCGCTCGATAAGAGTCTAGATTACTCATTGACCCATTAATGAGGTTGAAATTAATTAGGGAACCGAGATTAAATCGCAAAAAGCGAAAATTAGAAGCGCGCAACAATAATCCACGTCGTAAAAGTCGCCCTAAATCATAATTACTTATTTAACCGCATACTTGTAACACAATCATAATGGTATCGGCGCGAGGCGCACGTGCAATATCTCAAATTCGACCTTATCGCATTGTAATAACTATTCTCTTAATCGCGAATGCTTCAATATTTGTAATTAACAACAGCCGAATAAGAAAGTCGGATGATCGAATGGGAATCAAACAATTATGAGCCCTATTGGGTTCGAATTAAGGGGAACGACGATTTCGCCGAGTGCTCTCTAAATGTTCGTACAGTCAATATGAAAATGGCGTCCGAGGTAGGTATTTTTATTGGAGCAGATTCAAAACAATGGGTGAGGCTGTAGCGCGACGCCTTGCCTCTATAAATATGCTTTTAAATGACGGACATTTTACGATGTAGTAAAGAAGGCCCGCGTTTAATATCCCCACTTAAATATAGGTGGTGGAATAAAAATACAACCGCGTTGTTTGTTCCCTGTTGGTTAATATGCGTTAAAAATGCCCACGACACTCGTAATGATTGTATTCACTTTAAGACGACCACGAAATTAAACATTAAACGTTTTTTTTTTACCGCATTAGTTTATTTGACTGGATAAATTCGATCTATTGTATAATGTAATGTTTGTTGAAACAACTCATGAGTTGTTCATGAGAAATTTGCTAAAAAATCCGCTTCGTTTCCCGCTCTGACTGACGTTCGAATTATCTGACAGTTTTTTTTTTTTTCAAGATGGCGCCACGTCATGTTACAGAAGACGCCATTGTTTTCAGTTTGGAAGCTCGCGGCTCGCACGCACTCCGATGACCACGGCGATAAGGGCTCGACCTGCCGACTGTGAACACTTAATGTTCAGAGGTTACCTTATAGCGGCTACACACGAGCTTAATAACGTCAATAGCTTTCTACAACGGCTCGCGAAAAGACGGACTTCTTTGAGTCTATAGCGAACGAAACATCATCGAATCACGATATATATGCGACTCTGTATGTGAGTGAAATTAGGAAATTTTATTTAGAGATGATATTATTTTTTAATATAGATAACCGTGCAAGCTAAACGCATGTGACGAAACATCCGTTATTTGAAAAAAGAATACAGCCAGTTAAACTAGGTTGAAAATAATATTCAAGTTTTGATTTAGTACGAGTAGGTAGAGCTGACAACTGATACTTAAATTTATCAGAGGAATCAGTTTTAGATCTCGGCTCGTTAGCTGGACGCATTTTCCTCCTGACCGGTCACAAACCGCCATGACACAGTTTTGCGGTGTGCTGACGTCATTAATTTGTAGGCGTTTGTCACTTTACATACGGCGACGGTCTTCGGAACAAGCGCTCCTCAATTTGCGGCGTTACGCGAATTTGAACCTTATGTGATTACAATACAGCGTCCCTCGGCGCACACACGTTGTCCGCAACGAAAATATTTTCCCATAAATTTTTAGGTCAGT